GCCGTGCGCCAAAGCTCTCCTGCCCACGACTACTTCTTGCTCTCTTTTCTCAATTACTTCTACTCATATGCTCATGCTGTCACTGTTTATACAGATGGTTCAAAATCTTCTGGTGGTGTTGGGTTCACAGCAGTGTTCCCTGATGATATTGTCTCAGGTCATTTGTTACACTCGGCTGGTATTTTTACTGCCGAGTTGTATGCCATCCTCATAGCACTTCTCCGTATTACATATGTCTCCTTCAATGTTTGTGATCATTTCAGATTCCCTCAGTGCATTACAAGCCATTAAAGAATTTAATTCCCTTCATCCATCGGTCCTTCGTATTCAACTATGGTTGTGCTGTGCGGCTAGCAAAAACAAAGATGTCATTTTCTGTTGGGTCCCTTGACACATCAATGTGCAGGGCAATGAACAGGTGGATGCTGCTGCGTGGTCAGCGGTACATGATCTTCTGGTACATGGATATACTAGAACCCTAGGAACTAGGCCCCATAAAGGTTAACAGGAGTACATTTGGGCTTATATCTAACAAGTGATTTATCTAACGCAAGCAAATTTAGGATATTTGCTTAACATTTCTGGCATCTTATTTTCATTAACAAGACAATGACATATCACATAGACAGGTTATTATACTGCCTTTACATTCCTCATTAAGTGGACAATTAAGCACATAGTCTTCAAGAAAGTGATCATAGTGCTAATACAACATGAGTCAGTCTGTTCAAATTGCAAGTTGCTCCATAATCATGCTTATTTTCAGTCATGTTATCATAGTGCATAACATCTATTCAGGCTTCTAACTGCATTCATGTGACATTCAGCTTCATTATTTACTTCTCTCTAGCCACACACATACCAAAGTTATATTCTACATTTTCCTTCAGGGTATTTTCTTTGGCTAATTTATTAACTGTCTCAAGAAGGCATAATTCAATGTATGATAGAATCCATAAAAAACTGTATATTAACTACCCTTTTCTCTTATTTTTGAGTACATAGTGTTCAAGAAAGTGACTAACAATGAGAATGTTGTTAGAATCATTATGCGAGTCAAGAGCCTTCAGTAACGACATCGAAAGCTATTCTATATTGTGATTTTTTTGTTAATGCAACTGAAAAAGTGCATACAAAATTGAAGAGCATAACTATGAAGACCTTTCCATGCACTATTCAATTTTGGATGTACTTTCTTCTATTGCATTTACAAAATACTACACTATATAGAGAAGTTTTATAAGAGAGTTGACTGTACTTTGTTTAAGTCTTAGCTTTAAACTTGCTTAAAATATTTCCCATAATTTGAACTTTGAAATAACAATACATGTACAGTCATACCTTGCCCTATGTCATTAACTGGTTCCAAGAGCCATGATGTAACCCTATTTTTGAAGTAAACCAGACATAATGCCTTAAAAATACCTTAAAATGACTATAAACACTGTAAACTAGTCATATCTTTTAAAGAATAATGAACACAAAATTATTATGTAGGTGATGTTGCTGAGTGATGTAAAGTTGTACATAATGATGTTCACTGAACTGAAATTTACTCTTGAAAAATGGCGTAAAGGCAAAATTGACGTAGGCCAAAATGACTGTATACTGTATACTGTAATTAGTAAGGAAGATTAAAAAATCTGGCATATAAAATATTCAGCGTAAAATAGCTACAGTTGTTTAACATTAGAAGATACAGTAATAGTCAAATACGTACATAGTGATCTAAACAAGCTATGACAAAAATTTAAGATTATGTCAATACAGTAATATACCATTCTTAAATCAAGAAGGACAACATTATCACACCATGCCAGTTCTTTATCAAAGCGTGCGTGAGCACGTTAGATAAGAGTGAATGGAGACGAATGGTTTTTGGGACATAACGAGTTGTTGGAGTGCGAGTAGGGTAATATTTTGTGAAGAGATTCAGGGAAACTGGTTAGTTGGACTTAAGTCCTGGAGGTGGGAAGTACAATGCCTGCACTTTAAAGGAGGGGTTTGGGTTATTGGCTATTTAGAGTGAAATCTAAACTCATTTGGATGCCTTTGCAAAGACAGTGATTTTTTGCAAATGACGATGAAAGTGTTAAGTGATGGTGAAAGTGTTTTTTTTTTTTTTTTAGGTCACCCTGCCTCAGTGGGAGATGGCAGACATGTTGAAAAAAAAAAAATAGTACTGCACTATATATGACATCCAAACAAATTTATTCATCTATGGCAGTATATTTAAAAAAAAATGAAAAAATGAGCACTAAGGAACCTCCAGTACAGCAAGTACCATATCATTAGGATACAAAATATTAAAAGAGTAACAGAAAAAGAAAATCTAAGCTAAGAAAATTAATTACATATACTCTAATTTTCATATTTTTTTTTTCTTGTGCAATTTGAAGATATCAAAAGAAATGGATGGACCTGAATAATGTCAAGCCAAAACTAGTTAAGGAAACAAAGATTTTGACATGAATGGTTTCTCGTGGTCCAGGCCACTGGTCTAGGATTCAAATCCAGTTCTTATATACATTGTCCTAGGGGCATGCACATACATACACCCAATAAAATGGATATAAGGTGCAGATATTAATGAATTACCCATACAAAGTGCTCTGCAATACACAAGAAACTGAAATCTAACAATTTATTTCCAAATAGGGAAATGAATAAAGCATTAAAGAATGGGTATGGAAAAGAAAAGACTTAGAACTACAGTGGAACCTTGGTATGTACTTGAACTTAATTCATTCCAAAAGACTGTTTGAGTGCTGATCTGTTTGCGTACAGAACAAATATTTCTCAACCAATTTTCTTTTTTGTTGGCTGTTATCACTAGTCTTCTTAGGCCCCATGGTGACCTATTTATACAAATAATATAAGAAAAAAAACACTAAAAAATGCAAAGAAACACAAAATAGTTTACAGTAAAGTTCTGGCAGGTCATGTTTGTTTGGTCGAGTGCCGAGCAAAACGGTTGATACAGAATTATTTTTTTCACCGAACAAAGCATTCAAATACTAAATTGTTCAAGTAGAGAGCCGTTCAAGTACCAAGGTTCCACTGTATTATAGGAAGTATGCCAGCCCAGAAGCTAATCAGAAATTCAAATAATCCAAAATTGATGACAGTAAATACAAATGCAGTGATGGAGGAAGAAAAAGCTATGAAAAAAAGAAAGAAATAGCAGATTGAAGCACAACTGAACCAAATCTTAATTGTTTTTGAACAAGATAAGCTAAATGCAGACGATAAAATACAAAGAATTAAGGATGACAACAAAATCACTGAAATAATTTTCTTATCATTCTGTAGTCTTCACAGAAAAGAACATTTTAGATGTAGTTAATATGTACACTAAACAATCATCTGTAATGTAAGTTATTCACGTATCAAAAAGAAAATAAAAGTGCTATGTACAATTTGATGTTGTAAGAAAAAAGGAAAGGGTCAAGCAAGGTAACACTATGGGTTTTAAAATAATGTCCAAAAGAACTAAACTATCTATTTTGGAAATATTAAGGAATTCCAACAAAAAAAGTAAAATAGACTAATGGAAAATGGTAAACATTGTATCTATATTTAAAAAGGTGAAGATGATCTACTGGAAAAACTGTTAGACATCAGTAGATAAAATTTATGGAGATCAAAAATCTGTTACCAAGTAAGTAACTTCCTTTTTTAATTAGTAAATCCCTAAATATTCTCTATGCATACTGTATATCAAATAAATTAAGCCATAGCACAGCTGCAGAATGAATTAGTAGCAGCAAGGGCAAAACACACATCTGATGCCTATGATATTGCTTATCAGGTAAATTTCACTTCCAATAGCTGCCAACATACTGTCAAGAGGACAAATCAAGAAGTAACACTGATGTCAATATATATTTAGTATTCACAGTTTCAAATGAGATATTTAGATATTTATTTTACTTTAAATACTGTACAGTATTAGTGAATACAAATTAAAGCAATTAAAAGGATAGCTGTTAAAACACATGCTTACTGAGGTCCCCCCTAGCCAAACAGTTGACCATCCATTAGAACAACCCACAACAATCAACCAACACCCAGGTACCTATTTACTGTCACGTGAACAGGGACAGCAAGTGTAAGATGTGCCCATACGCCTTGCACTGACCAGGATTTGAACCCAGGACCTTTCGGTTGTGAGCAGACTGCGCTGACCACTGTACATAGATGCATCTTATTAGATTTTTTTCATGATATAGTACAGGGCTAAACACTTTCAATCCTTTAATGTATTAAATTTACAGTCTTCACTGCAATTTGATATAAAACACGTTTTATCTTCCTATTTTAGTTCAGTAATTCACTGACAAGTAACAGCTTTTCAAAATTTAATGGAAGAAATCCTAATTATGAAAATTGTCGAACTTAATTCACATTCTATATAACCTCTTTGTAATAGTGACTTAAGCAGGATAAGTGAAGCAAAACTCGTATAAGAGTTTGTTTCTACAAATAATGCCCACTTCCAAGAAAACTTTTCACCTTCAGTAAGTCAATAACTTATTCAGAATACATGAATACAAAACAAATTGTTGCTAGCATCCTAAAAACATAGGAGTGGATCCATAGGCCACAGATGCTTTAGCTTATACTATATACAAAAAGAATATTTTGCACAAAGGAGAGACAAGGATTGCACATGTACCTGTGAGAAGCTTTTGAGGGTTTTGACCTGGCTTCTTTGTTCACCACCAGGTCACCCAGGCTGTGTGTGTTAGCAGCCCTCAGGACTGCATAGACATCACAGCCTGGCTGATCAAGAACTTGCAAAAATTAGTAGTCCAATTTCCTCTTGAAAACTACTTTCTATCAAGCTATATTTCAAATTTCTGCTGATAAGTTGAATTCTTGGGACCCAGATATTAACACAATGTTCTCTGGTTGTATTCATGGCATTCCTGCTTTTCACTGTTATAATAAAAACTGCTAATTAAAAAAGCATAAAAAAAGAAAAATATTGGGCTTACCTTTTCTTTTGAGCTGCTACTCGAGACTCCAGTCCTTGCAACTCCAGCAGCAGTTGGTAGGTTATTAGTTACTCCAGGACCCAGTCCCCCAAGGGTGCCATCACCTGGGTCAAAACTTCCAACAACATTATAAAGGGCAGTCTTGAATCGATTCAACATGAGTTCTTTTCAGCCAGGCTTGCTGTTAATGCCAATGAATGTATGAATGAACACAAGAATTTGTATCTGCTCAAAGTGTTCAACATGAGCTCACCTCTTAGTTTCAAGATAGTTCTGAACTTTTTATGTGAACATAGCAGAATGGATTTTAGTTTTTAACTGACCACTGCTGTTACCGTAACAAGTGTGCAAGCATCCAACTATAAATGGTTGCATCTAAATCCCATGTGATCATTCGCATTTTATCTTTTCATCTTTCCAAATAGTTATCTGTAATACAAAAATAAATTTACAGAGTATACCATTATCAGAAAAAGTATAAAAGAATATCTCATGTATATTAAAATACTACTACCAGTATGTATGGTGGTTAATTAAATATTACTATTACGTATATCTACCAAAATAAACTCGAGAGGCCCCTATATTAAAAAAAATAGTGTCCTTTTACTCAAATGTTTCTTGAATCAAAGTATACAAAAAAACGCGTATTTATTTTATTAACCTATATTTACAGAAACTATTAAGGAACTTCACTGAAATACCTCTTTATTTAGTTTAAATACTAAAAATATTTTCAAGAAATGCTAAGCCCTTGAGCATAATTCAGCAATGAACATAAAAGCTTACACATCATTAATTAAGAACAGTAGATGTAAAATACAAATAAAAATTATATGGCATTTTCTCAAGTATTTCCAGGAATTTATACAGGTAGAGAAACTTCTCTGATTACTATCCAGATCTGCAGTTTTGATTACTCAAAAAGAGTTGCTAGTATAATGTGCAGCACTGTTCCAGTCTAGAGTTAAAAGTGCCTTTAACCATTTCACTGCCTCTCACATAGATCTACCCCCAGTGGGATCAATATTGTCTCTCACATAGATCTACATCTTAATTATAATGCCCTCAAATACACAGAGCAATAAATTTTGGCCTGGACATGAGAGAAAGGGTCTCTGGTGGGTGTGCACAGCATAAAAAAAATCCTGCCCTATGCACTGCATGATGGAAAGAACTAACCTCTGGCCTTGTATCTGGGTTAAAATAGCAAATTTGAGGCACTTTCTAAGATGGTTTCATAGTTTTATTGACTGGAATTGACTTGAAATAGATCTCAAAGTGGTGAAAATATTCAACTTTGTGATTTTCCTGAGGAACAGTAAGTAGAGGGTACATTACCCCTTTCTACCCATTCTGTTCTAGGGGTGTTTACTATGCCTGTTTCAATTATTGGGATGACTTAAACCATGATCAAGCATTCTTGGTTATATTTTATTAGTCAAAAAATTACGAAAACCTCGTTTTCTTTTAAGTAAGTGATTCAAAATGGATGGTAAGTGTTACATGTGAGAGGCCTAGGGACATGATTAATGAACAGAGGAAAGGTTGCTTTAGTAGCTGGAATGACACCACTTACATCTTCTCCTACTTAGTAACACTGAACAGTGAGCTACATCAAATATCAAACTGGATGACAACCAACAAACTTACTCTCAATATAGACAAAACCTACTTCATGCTTTTTGGAAACAGAGCATTAAATATCCAGCTAAACATATCTATAAATGGTTCACCCATTACAAGACACACTGAGGGCAAATTTCTAGGTGTCCACCTAAACTGTAATTTTAAATTTCAGACCCACATCCAGTATATAACTAAGAAAGTTTCCAAAACAGTAGGTATCCTTTCCAAGATGCAATACTATGTACCCCAAAGGGTGCTCCTTACTTATATCACTCTCTAATATACCCTTACCTCACCTATGGTATTTGTGCTTGGGGATCTACCATGGCTAATCACCTTAAACCTTTAATAACCCAACAAAAAGCGGCAATGCAGATGATCCCACTCCAGCGCCAGACAGCACATCTCACCACTCTTGAAAAGCTTGAACTTACTTAATATACAAAATATGCACACTTACTGTGCCTACCATATATACAGAACATTAATCTCCAATATCAACCCTCCACTCAAACTTCTAGACAGCTTCAACAGAACACACAGGCATAACATGAGGCACGAAACACTTTTTGACATCCCTCGTGTCCATCTCACACTATGCAAAAAAATGCAATGCACATAAAGGGCCTAAAGATCTGGAATTCCTTGCCTGAAACAGCAAGAGGTCCCCTGCCCACAAATCCATTTAGGACTATACTCAAAAATCATCTCATCTCTCAATAACATTTATACCCACACTGTGCTAAACTCTAACCAAATTTAAAGCAACTCTCCCAAATATTTTATTATCCCTTAACTGTTAAGCCATTATTACAAACTTAAAATGTATGTTTGTACTGTATAATTAATTGTACTACTTCATATTAATAATAGAGTAAAATATTGAATATTTGTATTTTACCACTCTTCACATGTCTAGACTTTAGTCTATAAGTACGGTATTAAGTCTGCCTGAAATGCCTCGGTACGATAGTGGCTTTCTTTGTACCAATCAAATTATGAAATGTAAACACACACTGTAGCCTTAGCAATGAAATAAAATTTTATTTATTTTTTTTATTTTAATGCCTACTACATTTATTGTTTACTCCATATTTAAATGGGAATTTGTTGTATTTTGTGTGCAATTAACCAAATTATCAACTTCTAGGCACTTCATAGGGTAGTTCTCATAGATGAAATTGTAAAAATTCAAAAGAAGTGGACTGGCTATACGGGGATTTGGTCAATGCCCAGTGAGCCACTGGGCATGGTAAAAAAAAAAAAAAAAAAGTTGAAAAAATTCATGAAACACTGAAGTCATAGCCACTGCACAAATATTGAAATTAAAATGGAACATGCCTTAGCTGAACAGTGAAAACACACCACTGGCCCTCAGTTAATGAGCCAACCTAATAGGTGATGGATGCCTAGGCTGGTTTTAAGATCCAGTCCACCTCCACAATTCAGTCAGTTTAAGCACTGGAATTAGTCTAAAATAGGCTCTAAGTGGGTAAAATTACAAGTCTGCACCTGCATTCTTCCACAAGTTTTATATCAAATTTGAAAAAAAAACTATCTACCATTTTAGAAAATACAATTATTTTTGAAAACCTGCAACACTAACAAGACTTTTAATATCAGGATCGCAACAGTCAAGACCAAGGAGGCTAGGAAAGAGGGAATATGGCAAGCAACAAGTTGAGAGGCAGGCTAAAGCCTGCAATCACATACATGCAAGTACTATAATTATCTACTACTGTACATGTATGTCATTAATTTTATCTCACCTACTCAATTTCAATTTCCTTCTATCATATTCTAAACATTCACCACAAATACTCAGGTTCAAAAGAATTCAAAATACTGTATCTTAATTATTATTAATCAAAATATTATTATAATAATCAAGGGAGAAATACTAAACCCATAGGATTATACAGTGCCTAGGGAGGGGGGGGGGAGGATATGGAAGGTATTCAGGCTTAATTCAAGGAACTGGAGCACAGATCCAATTCTCTAGATAAAGAGCCCCTCACAAGCATCAAGGAACCTTCCCTGAGGGGACTATAATCAAAAAGATCAAAATATCTTAAAAATTTTAGCACTGAATTTATTTACAGTGATAATCCTGGATGGCTAATGTTAACCCAGTGTGATTTGTTTTGACTGGGGTTTTACTTTATTTCCTATGATTATTATTATTATTATTATTATTATTATTATTATTATTAATCATAACCAAGTGCTAAATCCACAAATATCATACAACACTTTCTTTCCTAGAATGTGGCCCAAAACAATCGACTAATTACTAGGAACAATATGTACATACTACAAGGTGATGGGCAGCAGGTATTAGGAGACTCATTAGAAGACTTTACTGAGAGCTGCTCTATTTGTCTCTATGAGAGATCACTCAGCTCAAAACCAAAGAAATCTGGATCAAATCTCTGGGCAAGGCATAACATAAGGAAGTCTACACCTGCTGCCCCTCTTAACTTTGCAGTCAAGATACATGGGTGTTAGTCAGCTGTAAGGTAAGTAAGTTTATTCAGGTATACACAAATACAGTTACACAGAGTATCATACATAGCAGCATATATGTAGAGAACCTGGGGTAACCCAAAAGAGTCAGACAGAGTGACTTATTTCCATTGGGGTCCTTTAAGCTGCTATGGGTTTCAACCTGGACAAGATGACCAAGGGAACCAAATGTAAATTAAGTCACACTGATTGGCCAAGGATCCCAATGGAAATAACTCACTCAGACTTTCTGAGGTTATCCTAAGTTAATAAGTTTATTTAAGCACAGGTACACAAGTACAATTATCATAGTGTAAATTACCTAGGATAACCCAGAAAGTTAGTGACTTATTTCCACATATTAAACTATATATAATAATTGTACTTATGTGTAACTTTACCCAAATACACTTACTGGTTTACCCGGGTTAGAGTAAATTAATATAATCTATACATTCTTATTCAAAACACCACCATATAATTTATTCATAAATTACATCAACTACATCATGATTAAACAAACGCACAAGCTTACTATCCAAAATAAACGTAGGAATGTGAAAGAAATAAGATAGTTATGCAAGACAATAGTGATGTAAAACAATAGAAGCCTTAAGTATCATGTTATAATGTCAACACGTGACGTCACTAGTGACGTGGGTTGTTACCACAACAATAACAAACAATTAATGTAACCAATTAAGTAAATTACAGGACATTCTTTCTTTAACATACACCTTTGCCCCTGAGATTCACCCATTACACGTGCATAAGAAAACGTCCCCCAAGCTTCACTGTAACTGAGATGAGAGGATTGACAAGCTGCACATACCAGCACACAGTGCACAATATTTCCCTCAACATACTACTATATACATGAGAGTTTGAAGCAACCGTTACATTCACGATAAAGCGCACTCTTTGCCCTCACTTTCCATGCTTCGTGGAAATGAAAGCAACGAGGAGGGTGGTGTATGGATGGAGGATGTATAGGAGTGGCAGTATGAGCACCATGTAGCGAGTGATCACACAAGATTACTGATAATGACACTTGCTGGCCGCCTCGCGCACCCTCACCGCGGCGCTACCTAGGCCACACTCCCCTTAATTACTCCGGAAAAAATCCAGTTTTCGTGATTCACTTTTTACATTGTCACTCTCTTGAACACTATGTGCTTAATTGTCCACTTATTGAGGAATACAGAGACAGACAGTATAATAACCTATGTGACATGTCAAGATATCTTATTAATGAAAATAAGATACCAGATATACTAAGCAAATTTCCTAAATTTGCTTGTAACAGATAAGTGAACTATAGATATGTAGATATAAATCCATATGTATTCCTGTTAACCCTTTGGGGCCTAGTTCCTAGGCCTTTTGTGTATCCATATGCTCTCGCGCTACCGTCCACAGGATGGATATGGGGTGCACAATAAACTAGCCACTTCGGTGGCAAAATCTAATCTAATCTCTACTTTTTACATTACCCATACTACATTTCTAGGGGAGCGCTAAACCCATAGGGGTCATATAGGGCCTTGGGGAGGGTATATGGAAGACATTCAGGCAGCTCGAGTCAAGAACCCCGATGCGTTACCTTGGGTAATTTACATATATTACCATGTAAGACACTCGTAATCATTCAAAATTGTGTAAAACTGTACCTATATGAGGTTAAGTAAGATATTATTAATAATGATTATATCTTTTTGCTAAATAACAAGATGTTATAAGGACCCCAATGGAAATAAGCCACTATGACTTTCTTGGGTTATCCTGGGTAATGTACACATGTGCTGCTATGTATGATAATTTATGTAACTATTTATGTGTACCTATACCTGGTTAAACTTACTAAGGAATTGGAGCACGAGTCCAGATATTTAGATCAAGAGCCCCTCGATGTATGCACAAGGCTTATTCCTCTAAGAAAAAGGAGGAGTAGATGTAAAATAGAAAGAGACAGGCGCGCCCTTTACAGGCGACGGAAAAGAATAACAGAGCGGCTAAAAGAGGTCAATATATCTGAAATGCGCAGGGAGACACTGGTCAGAGAAATAGCAAGCATCGAACTTAAGCTAAAAGAATCCTTTAGGAGTCAGGAATCGCGGGAAGAACTAAAAGCCATAAATGAAATCGAAAGAAACCCAAAGTATTTCTTCTCCTATGCCAAATCAAAATCGAGAACAACGTCCAGTATTGGGCCCCTACTTAAACAAGATGGGTCCTACACAGATGACAGCAAGGAAATGAGTGAGCTACTCAAGTCCCAATATGACTCAGTTTTTAGCAAGCCGCTAACCAGACTGAGAGTCGAAGACCAAAATGAATTTTTTATGAGAGAGCCACAAAATTTGACTAACACAAGCCTATCCGATGTTATCCTGACGCCAAATGACTTCGAACAGGCGATAAATGACATGCCCATGCACTCTGCCCCAGGGCCAGACTCATGGAACTCTGTGTTCATCAAGAACTGCAAGAAGCCCCTATCACGAGCCTTTTCCATCCTATGGAGAGGGAGCATGGACACGGGGGTCGTCCCTCAGTTACTAAAAACAACAGACATAGCCCCACTCCACAAAGGGGGCAGTAAAGCAACAGCAAAGAACTACAGACCAATAGCACTAACATCCCATATCATAAAAATCTTTGAAAGGGTCCTAAGAAGCAAGATCACCACCCATCTAGAAACCCATCAGTTACACAACCCAGGGCAACATGGGTTTAGAACAGGTCGCTCCTGTCTGTCTCAACTACTGGATCACTACGACAAGGTCCTAAATGCACTAGAAGACAAAAAGAATGCAGATGTAATATATACAGACTTTGCAAAAGCCTTCGACAAGTGTGACCATGGCGTAATAGCGCACAAAATGCGCGCTAAAGGAATAACAGGAAAAGTCGGTCGATGGATCTATAATTTCCTCACTAACAGAACACAGAGAGTAGTCGTCAACAGAGTAAAGTCCGAGGCAGCTACGGTGACAAGCTCTGTCCCACAAGGCACAGTACTAGCTCCCATCTTGTTCCTCATCCTCATATCCGACATAGACAAGGATGTCAGCCACAGCACCGTGTCTTCCTTTGCAGATGACACCCGAATCTGCATGACAGTGTCTTCCATTGCAGACACTGCAAGGCTCCAGGCGGACATCAACCAAATCTTTCAGTGGGCTGCAGAAAACAATATGAAGTTCAACGATGAGAAATTTCAATTACTCAGATATGGTAAACATGAGGAAATTAAATCTTCATCAGAGTACAAAACAAATTCTGGCCACAAAATAGAGCGAAACACCAACGTCAAAGACCTAGGAGTGATTATGTCGGAGGATCTCACCTTCAAGGACCATAACATTGTATCAATCGCATCTGCTAGAAAAATGACAGGATGGATAATGAGAACCTTCAAAACTAGGGAGGCCAAGCCCATGATGACACTCTTCAGGTCACTTGTTCTATCTAGGCTGGAATATTGCTGCACTCTAACAGCACCTTTCAAGGCAGGTGAAATTGCCGACCTAGAAAATGTACAGAGAACTTTCACGGCGCGCATAACGGAGATAAAACACCTCAATTACTGGGAGCGCTTGAGGTTTCTAAACCTGTATTCCCTGGAACGCAGGAGGGAGAGATACATGATTATATACACCTGGAAAATCCTAGAGGGACTAGTACCAAACTTGCACACGAAAATCACTCACTACGAAAGCAAAAGACTTGGCAGACGATGCACCATCCCCCCAATGAAAAGCAGGGGTGTCACTAGCACGTTAAGAGACCATACAATAAGTGTCAGGGGCCCGAGACTGTTCAACTGCCTCCCAGCACACATAAGGGGGATTACCAACAGACCCCTGGCAGTCTTCAAGCTGGCACTGGACAAGCACCTAAAGACAGTTCCTGATCAGCCGGGCTGTGGCTCGTACGTTGGTTTGCGTGCAGCCAGCAGCAACAGCCTGGTTGATCAGGCGCTGATCCACCAGGAGGCCTGGTCACAGACCGGGCCGCGGGGGCGTTGACCCCCGAAACTCTCTCCAGGTAAACTCCAGGTAAACTAGCATCAAGGAACCTCCCCTGAGGGCTTCTACATTGTAAACCTACAACGCCTCCTCTATGATGACTTCACATCTTAAAATAGCAAGAATATCTACGCTATCAGGCTATTGTCCCAGTAGATACTGCAGTATTTGTGGGTATACTACAAGGGACAAAATACTTCTTAAATGTAAGGAGCCTACTTGTTCCAACTACTCCCACACATTGCATTCCAGAAGAATTTTGTTTCAGCCGGGTTGAAAGTTGAAGGATATCCATAATCCTGTACAGGTATATGTGGAAACAAGGCCTGGAGCTACAGGAGGAAGGTTCGGAAGTACCTCAGGGACTCTCTCTCTCCAAAGATCAAGACTGCCTTCATGGGCTGTGTTGTAAAGTCGCAGCTGAGATGATCCATCACAGGGAAGCACTTCATGAACTCCTCAAATCATTAGATACCCTTCAAGCTATTGTAGGCCAGTGCAAGCCTACATCAAGTGACATAAGCTGCTCAGCTGATGGTGACACTATTGACAAAGACTGTTAATACAGAGCTTAAAACACTACATTTGGGAATTCTAACACAATTCCTCTGACCACCACAGAGGGAACATATCCTCTTCCCAGCAACGAAGCAAGTCTTGGATCTGTTAATTCTCCTACACCTGACATTACTGCTTCAGCACCTGCCAGTACACTAGACAGTGCACATACCATTTCTGATCCAACACCTGTCAGCACACCTGCCGACACTATTCCAACATATGGCAGCAGTGCTTCATCGGAAAGTACTGAGTCAGGATTTTCTCCACCAGAGATTGGTGCAGTTAATAATCAGGGAACTATGACTGCACCTGAACACCTGCTGCGCCAAAGTACGAACAGCAGGGACACATCTGTCAGAACTGTACAGGGGCGTGGTAGAGGACGTGGAGGAGGAAGACATCTACAGCCGTCTCACCTTTCCCCAACACAGTCCCAGCGGCAGAACCTGTGGACAAATCAGCAGCGAAACACATGAGGTGCAACAAACAGGAGTCCACCCTCCCAGGCACCTAGGCAATGCTCTCGCTGTCACCGGAAGGGGCACACGACTAACAACTGCCTGCGAGATACCAGGTGCAATTACTGCCACAGGAAAGGACATCAGGAGGACCAGTGCCGGAAGAAAAAGGAACTTGACAGACAGGACCACCTGTTTAGAGACCTGTTCTCGGAACAAACCAACAGGATCTCTGAATTGGTGAAAACACTCGCACGTCACCCACTCAGCTACTCCTGTGTCAGCCCAGGAGGTGCCTTACACAAGACCACAGACCTACATCCATGCAGCTACCTCGGTGCCCTACCTCTCTCAAGGGCAGGCACCTTACACGCCTTACACACCCACCACCTCAAGCTGAACGCATCATGAGGAGCCAGTCTATCAGCATCCTGTCGGCCAACATTAGAGGTTTCATTACTAATGTAGGAGAGTTCACACACAGTTTTGTGAACACTCGACGTCCCGACATGATAGCTGTTGTTGAAACATTTTTGGACGACAGGGCTCCAGAAAATTTTGCAAGAATTGCTGACTACATCTTATGGACGAGAAGTGACAGGCAAGGGTAAGGAGAAGGTGTTGCTGTGTGCTTCTCTAAAAGTGTACATGCCCAGCACAATGATGCTGCCATCCCTACTCATCTTGAAATGATGTTTTTCAAGCTATTCATAAACACTAGTACCTCTGTACTAGCATGTGCAATGTACAGACCTCAGTGGCAACATGCAGACCCCATCAACTTCTGGACTCCCTTCTGCTCCAACACAACTTTCAACATATCATAATTGTTGGTGACCTCAACCAACACCTTATACAGAGGGACTTTGATGACCTTCTTGCGGTATTTGACATGAGAAACTTTGTTGATTTCCCTGCTCACATCTCTGGCTCCTCCCTTGATCCAGTAGTGAGTGATCTGGCAAAGGTATAGTCACTTGTCATCCCCTCGGCTATGTTGGATCATCTGACCACAAGGC